CCTCGTGGGCTAGGGAGAGATCCGGGTTGGTTGGTGTTCCCCCGTACTATACATAGACTAGCGAGAGGATGAGATAGATGAGCATTGGCTAGAAGATGAGATAGAAATGGGACCTTAGGACAGACTGCCTGTGGACCGCGTTTCTACGACTCTAGAGGGAAAGGGGGCCCGCACAAAAAACGATTGCGCTAAGATGGGAAGAGATATGGAGGCAGCCCCTCATTGGTAACCCGAACCTCCTGGACCGAACAGACCACCCCTTCTCACTCCACACTCACTCAAAATGGTTTTCGTGGGTGAAAAAGGGAATGTATACAATTGGTGACTTATGGAACGACCAAACGAACTCATGGCATACCGAACCGGAACTCCGCCCGCGAATGGCCCATATCAGAAAACTTCAAGAAGGACTGCGAGAACTGCAGGAGGCCATCCCATTGGCCTGGATATCGGAAGGCCCGCGGATAAGACCGGGACTGGGTTGCCATGCCTGAGGATTGGCCAATCCCGATGGTATTGTAAAAGGTTGATAAGGTACACGATCACATAGCGTCACTTCAGGCCTACACACCCCGACTCCCTGGACAACGGTGGTCCAAATTGCTCAGAGAAGACAACCTGGACTGCCAGCGACCCGCCACGGGGCTCATAAGAGTCCGGGTCCTCAATGACAAGAGGACGGCCCGTATGCCTATGAGCCATCGACCCCCGTCGGCCAATCGCCGTTTGACCCCGACGAATGAGAATGGCACCAGACGGGGAGCCGCACACTTCAGATATGGCAGTACACGGTTAAAAATGGATACAGGATAGCTCGACAGAAAGCACACATCACAGACCAGATCACAATGGGACAAAGAATCTCCCCTCAGAAATGAGGACTTACATAGTCTTAATTGGGCCTCCTATTCACGAATCTGGCCCACCAATCTGAGAGCTTTGCAATGGCAGATTATCCACAGATGCCTTCCTACCCCGAGCTGGATCGCATCCAGAACGAATTTGGAAATCCGGGGAGAGTTGTCCCCACTCTGCAGCTACTGCGGGGGAACAGGGTCCCCCCAAAGGAGAGCCACCTTGGAACATTGTCTTTTGGACTGCCCAATTGTGGAGTTGGTGGGACGCGGCATGGCATTACCTCACAGGAACGCATATACCATGGGATATCAAAGTGATCCTATTGGGGGAAAAGACACCACAAATGGCCCAATGGACGCCCTTTATGACCAACCTGTTCACCACTACACGCCTACCAATGCTTATGGAGCGTGACGAATGAGGTGTGCACACGAACGCAAGCAACACACGTTTGGGTATATGGAAGCACGGGCATCAATCGTGGAAACAATAACGGTCAGTACGCATGCGGCCTGGCAAGAGCTTCGAAACATGCTGACAAACGAACCAGATGCAGTCAAACATAATGACCTCTCACACAACTTCCACACATTATGGGTGGATAACGAACAGAGGCTCTGTGAACTAGACCCGGACAACCATCTGCGATGGACACAGTGGCTGTTAACGGAACCCTGAGGGAACGCCTGCCCCATGACCACTTTCATATCCCCTTTCAACCGACTAATTTCATCCTCCTTCCAACATATCAGTCTGCATTTTCTGATCTCATGGCCCCCCGCACCCCCTGCTCCAGCGAGTCAACGACCGCACCGCCCCTGCCCCTACTATGCACGAGCCCCACTGCATCCCCCCCCTGCCCCCCCCTCTACTACTCCACCACTTTCCCCCTTCCCCTCTCCCCTCCTCCGCCCCGATGCTGATTGTCGGCCAAGCAAGGACTACCTCCCTCTCAAGGAGCACCACGCATCAAATACTACTCCAGCGACGGAAGAACAACAAAGGGTAACATAGGCAGCGTAAGGAAGGGGCATAGAGCATGAAGACCAGGGCCACTCCTTCAGTCGCAGGACACCTGAACAAAAAGGGACGTGACACGTACATACTGGACGAACGATTACAAACTGGGGAGCTTACAACAGAACCAGGACCTGTGGACGTCGAATGGGTGTTGGGGTGTTGGGGGGGTGGTCACATAGAGGCGCAGCAACCCCTCAAGGGATTACGGTAGTTGAGCAGACAGCACGACATAGCTTCACATTGGGATACACTGCGACACTGGCACGGGATAAATGGGAGGGTGGGCACAGGGGGGGGGATGGAGCTGTCGCCTGACGCCCCCACATTTCCAAATAAAGGACACAAAACACAAGAGATTAAGTCAGCAGCAGCTTGGACTTACCGACATAGGGAGACAGACGGTACAGAAAAGATAACATTCCCACTGCCGGGGGACTGGGAGGGTGGTTTCAGATGGATTTTTGGGACGGTGGGGACAGGGGATGGCTAAGGCAGCTCCACATAGCCACGCTAACACCTCACCACACACTGTTAATAGCACCGCACAAGAATGCAGCCCAAGTAATAGCAGGCAATAGGAGGAATGACGGACAACAAGGTTTAACGGTGTAAGGGTTTAAGGGCTTAAAGAGACCTGCTATAACACTTGGGCTTATCGGCTGCATAATTGCGTCGGATAGAACTAGCCTACTGACAAATTGACTGACACACACACATGCATGTTCCACAGGAAACACATTCAGGAACACTCTCAACCACATCTTACACATCACACCGCGATAAGGGACAAGAAACACACGCAGGAACACCCTCAACTGGATATATACAGACACAGACACAACAGCATGGTGCTGATTGGTGGCTTGACTGCTATTTGTCTTAGTTCCGAGTCCCGGTAGTTTGCGAAAAGACGAGGCCAGAATGACGTTGGTCGGTGTTGGGGCTTGGTCGTGCTGCCCTGTAACTCGAGCTGTACGAGGGCATGAGACCTGGTAGAGAGATCAAGGGAGTTGTCGAGGGTGGAAGGCACTCTAGTGTCTTTTGGTGAGCTGGTGCCTAGTCGACGCTGGCCGGAGCCGGGGCAGGTCGCTTTGCCCTGTGGCCTAGCAGGTGGGGGTTATTCTGGGGTGGGTCGTGCCACTCTGTAACCTAGCAGTTGGGGGCATGAGGCCTGGTAAAGATTGGGCATTGGGATATTGGGGTGGGCCAGGTAAGGGTTGGGCTTCGGAAAGGCCCTAAGGCAGGTAGTTTTTTTCTGAATGCTTCTTTCATCCGAGCTTTGGGGGACACAGAATTTCAGTGTTCTTGTTCAAAAAAAAAAAAGTCGAAGTCGGGTAATAGCCCCGGTATCTTAAGGATATCTTCAAAAAAGGTTTGTGTACAGGTGGTTTTGAGAATGCTTTAGGATTCTGGGGACTTCTAGCAACTCGCTTTAGGCTGTTTGATACTTGTACATTCATGGATCTGCGGTTGTTCGATGCCAGAACGACGCTGGCTAGTGCTGGGGTGTTGTCCTGTAACGTGCTGACTGCAGGAGCGTAAGCGTGGTAGAGAGATCTGGGATGCTTTGGGGTGGGCATTCCAAGGGACAACCAAGGGTTGCTGTTGGGATGACACTGGCCGGAGCTCGTGTTGCTTTGTAACCTAGCCGAGTGGGAGTGTGAGGCCTGGGAGAGCCCGACAGGGAATAAGACAGTGTTGGATAGTTTAGAGAGTTCTGTTTGGGAGTCTAGGGGTTCTGAGCATTCGAAAAGAGGTCAGTAGTCATTCACAGTTTTTCAACCTCTTTTTAATTCTCTTGAATTTCTTCAATAGTTCTCAATAGTTCTCAGATTGATTCTCAACGGAAGCCGGGTAATGGCCCCGGTATCTCAAATGACTTGTGTAACTCTATATGGGACGCTGGGCCCGGTTCCCAGCACGTGCTGCTCCCCACGAATAGACTGGAGCACTTGTCCCAAAAAATAATAATAATAATAATAAAGAAAATAACAACACCATAAGCGATACTGCATGCTCACTGAATGCTCCATTAAAACAGATCTGATAGAGGGCTGGGCCACTCACTGCCCAGCCCCTCATGCATACTGACAAATCATGCTTGCACTACTTTTGTTTCTCACATTGTACTCTATAGGGACGCTGGACCCGATTTCCAGCAGGTGCTGCTCCCCACCAATAGATGGAGCCTCCCTGACGGTGCTAGTGGTGTCTGCTCCTATCAGCACCCCTAGCAGCCGCTCGGGTTGTTTTGCTTCAAAAAAAAAAAAAAAAATAGAAGAAGAAGAAGAAGAAGAGAAATATATATATACATGTTGTGCCTCTAGTGTCAGCGGCGTGTCTGGAGTGTATTTTTTGGCTGTGACAGACCTTTCTTTGTTTCGTGGATGTTTTGCTGGCTTGTGATGGGG